AGATAGAAATAACAGACACTAGGGATCCCAAAATGGGGGAGATTAGAATGGGGACTGAGGCTTGAAAAATTACCTATTGAGTATTATGCTGAATATTTGGGTGATGATTGTACTAGAAGAGCTCAATTCCCATCATTATGCAACATACCCAAGTAACAAACATGTGCATGTATCTCTTGAATTTAAAACGTTTTCTTAAAACATGTATTTTTGTATTTAATTATCAGTCCCTCTAAACTCTGACTGGCATGCATGCTTGTCAAGATTCCTTTCTAAATGGTGCCTTTAATTAATCCTTTGACTCCAGGATGCTGTTTAAGTAATTAGATCTGGTGATTTGAAGTTTATTTATTGAAAAGACAGTGTAATAGGCTAAATTATAGCCCTCTAAAACATGGCTACATCCTACTTTCTGGAATCTGTGAATGTTTTATACATATATACACACACATAAATATATAATATATATATAATAGATATATGTGTGTGTGTGTGTCCATATATATATATATATATATATATATATATATTTGCAACATGATTTTGCAACATGATTAAGTCAAGGATCTTGAGATGGTGAGATTATCTTGGGTTATTCAGGTGGGCCCAGTTTGTGGTAATTTGTTACAGCAGCCATAGAAAACTAGTACACCTATGACAAGCCATCTGACCTGTCTACCGAGATAAGTACTGCCACATCTCATTTCTCAGTTGCGTTAAGACTGAAAATAGTGGAAAGGAGATTTAAAGGTGCATACAGTCTATACATCTTTTATATGGTGTCTGCTCTACAGGTAAGCTATTAGAATTAGGTAAGCCCACACCAGGCTACATGGCACACAGACTGATGGGAAGGGAACAGAGATGGTATCTAGGAACTGGTAGATATGTGCAAATGCAAGCAGATCAGTGAGGTCAACCAGCAGGAAGCGAGGTCCTAAACACAGGGTTTCAGAGACAAATTCTAGATCCTATGGCTATGAACAAATTCTGGTGCTACAGTCTCAGCAGGCACCAAAGAACAAAAAGAAAAAAGAAAATCGGATATAGGATGTAGTGGAAAAACCACATGTTCTTATGTTAGAGATAACAGGCAAAAATGTCGCTCTACAAATTACTAAACTTGACATAATGATTGAGTCCAGCTAAACCTACGTATTCTTAGTTTAAATGGAATTATATCTACGATGCTAGATTGTTCTATGAAGATTAAGTGAAATATTAGACATAAAAAATTATATACAGTATTTGGTCCATAGTAGATAAACACTCATACAATATTAATTTTTTAAGAAGGGAACCACAAATATAGAACTGACAGGGCAGTAAAAGTAGTTTAGTGTTGTGTTACAGGAACTTGGGATGACATATCTTATATTTGTTCAGCCTATGATCAGACAGATATCAAATGATACTAAAGATAGAGAAAAAAAGGAATTCAGATAACAAACCTACAAGAGACCTCACTTATCCAATTAGAGGTGGTTAAGATGATTCATTAATTAGCTGATAGTTACTGTTTAAAATTAGTCAATAATTCTTTCAAGAATTTCATATATACATTTCATAATTATTTAATCCTTATGACAACCCTATTATACCCATTTTACAGATGAGGAAATAAAAGCAAAGAAAGATTAATTATCTTGCCCGAAGACAGATAGCCAGAAGTTATCAGATTTGGATTCTAACCCAGATAATTTAATTAAAGACCTTCTAAAAGTAAGAAAAGTTATGGTAATATCACCCTTTATGAAAATCATACCCTGTGCTCTTGGTTTATTTATTTATTAGAATATCTGAGTATTTACCATGGGTAAAGGAAATGTTCTTTAATAATCATGACTGGAACCTTTTATGTATGACAAATAGCAGTCTCTCTAATTCTCTGCAATTAGTCTGTATCTATCTTCTTATTTAAAACACCTGTGGGCAGAGTTATTTATGATTACAAAGGATCCTCAGACTGTTGACAGCTAGAGAAGACTGGTTAACATTTCTTATCATTTAACATGTGGACCTACATCTAACCATGGGTATCCATTGTTGGATATAGCTTTAAATATGATTGTATTCTGCAAGATCATTTTGACCTACAAAAACTTTAATTTGAAACCATCACCCTAATGTGGAATCTTGTGCGTTCTTGTAGGTAACTTGTACTAGAGCACTCTGCTTGGTACTCACAACTATTCCATTGCTGTTAACTCATTCTGCCTGTTCCCCAGGACCATTTATATGAGTCACAATTTAGTTAATGATATTTGGTAACCCAAAAAATTCTTCTAAGCAAATGCAATGTTCCGCTATATTACTATATACGTTCAATACAAGGTCACACATACATACAGTATTCTGATTATATTTATAAAATAAAATAAATTTCTACCTCTTTTATGAGGAAAAAATCCAAGGTTAATTTAGTTCAAGGTAAACCTTAACTAACATGTCAAAACTTATGCCCTAAAACCATAATAAGTACTCATTGCCTGGTTAACATTTAAAAGGCATATTCTTTAGCTCCATACACTGCTGCATTCTTCCCTGAGGAAAATATCAAACAAAATAAACAGAGGGACAAAGTAGAAATAAGTTAGCTTGATATGATAAATTAAAATTTCTTAATGTGGATGCCTATAAAAGTAACTAATTTTTATAGAAAAGGAGTCAGAATTGAAACTCATTTTTTGACACTATGAAATCAATTAGTTAGCATATTAATATAGAATTGTTTTAGGAATATATATCTGTGGGATTACATACTCTGTGTGGGGGTTGTTTTTTGTGGTTTTTTTTTTTTTTTTTTTTTTTTTTTTTTTGTATCCCACTTGATGGGTAAATTATATAGGTGTAAACTCCAAGGCTCTCCCAATGAGTTCCATGCTACTAAAAACTTTTAGAATATCATATTGTCCCTTAAAGGAGAAAAAAATATATAGAGAAATAGAATGTGATCTAGCTTCCACCATAACGAAAATCTTTTGTCTCCCCACAAACACACCACTTTGAGCATAATGAATCTTTACACTCAAGTATTTATTGACTCCTTTATAATCATCACAGACTACTACTACCTTTCAAATACCATATCTTTTCTTCTAAGGGTTGAAAACGCTGTGATAATAATTTAAATTCCTAACTATCTATCACATACAACCATAACTGACATGGAATATGGCATGCAGAAAACAGTATTTATCTATATACAAGAGCAGTTGCAAAACAAAACATTTATTTTCACTGAACTATTTGAGAATAAAAAGCAAGCATTAGTTTACCTCATTTACAGATAGGAAACTAAGCAATAAAGTGAAATCTTTTGTTCATATTCACACAGAAAAACTGTGGAAAAAATAAGCTATCTCTGATTTCCAGCTCAATGTGGAACAACTGAAGCTCTACTTTCACTTTCTTGAGAAATAGTTACTTTTACAAAACATATTTGGTCTACTCAAGAAATATATTCAGATTAATAATCTCCAGCTCAGTCTTTGAAAAATTTATTTTAAACTTCAGCCAAATTCACTGTTTTAATTATGGAAGACTTGCTAGTTTAATAAACCTACTCTACAGCCCACTGCTCAAAGTCTTTGACATCAGAATTCTAATATAGCCAGGTCCAAAATGCAAATGGTGCCATCTGCATTACCACCTCCACTCCAGCAGCACTGTTATTAAATTAATAGCACAGTCTGCAAGAAAAAAACAGCAGGGACCCAAATGATGTGGAACCAGTTGAGTTTCTGTTTAACCTTCAGCAGATAGAAACACAGAGCCAGTTCAGTCATGGTTCGCTTAGTCAATCCGTACTCAAGAGCTGTGTCCAACTTCTATGACCAAAGGAATTAAGAACCAAAAAAAAGAAAGAGAACAGTAAGAAGACATTAGCTGCCTAAGTACAAATATAAATAGGCTTCAACTGAGTGAGCTTCAATGTTCTGATTGTTGAAGAATTGGCTGACCAATCTAGAATGAATTCAAACATTAGGATTAAAGACATAATATCTGTAGAATGATTTGAGCCCTTCACAAAAAGGAAGAACATGAAGTATATTTTAAAAACAACAGCAACAACATGGCATTGTATTAATATAAACTCACATGCTAGTATAATTTAATTGGTACTTTTGTTATTTGAAAATTTACTATCTGCAACTGTAGCATTTACTACAGATAATTTTGCATTAGCTGGTTTATGACACAGCAAACACTGGATAAAATTCCATTTTTATCTCAGAAACAAATTATCTTATTTTCTGTCTGGATTACACAAATATAGTTATTATGAAATCTTTATTTTTGCCCTGGCTCATTCAAAATCACGTGAAACTAACCATTGGGAAAACCTGGGCATGCTTAGAGAATATATTTTCGAATGTCTTGCTTCCTATTAGTTTCTTTAAAGTTTTATGACTATCTCTGTCACCCACAGAAAAGTTATGCTTATAAGATGAGCAACACAATGCTGGCCTTTCTTAATATGCTTCTGCTGCAAGATTGCTGTAACTGGATTTAGTTCAGTTGAAAGTGATATTCACCATCATGTTGTCACTGTCCATCTACCTCTTGAAGCTGTGCATTATATGACCTCTGCCATGAGGTCATATAATGACTCTGCATTTCTGCACCAAAGATTGTAAAGATATTGCATGACAGAAGGAATTCAGGTTAAGACAAAAATAAACTCTGACTTGTTACAGTAACTTCTTAAAGAAAAAAATATATTTCCTCAGTAAGTCAACATATATTTGAGCTACTCTCTTAGTAATTGTAAATAATTAAAAAATTGTTACATATTTTGAAGTTACTTTGATTCCAATTATAAGGTATTATTTATGTTATTTATACATTTATAACTGAAATTAACTGAGGAGTAAATGTACTTATTTAATTTCAAAAATGTTACAAAGAACACTAAACATGAAAATTTTTCTTTCTCCCATATGAATACACAAAAATGTATCTTTAAATGAAGAATAACCATAAAATTAAACATTTACCTTTAGTTTGTATTTTCCTTTCAGGTTTCTCTTGTTTTTCAGTCTTATCTTTGTGGATTTCTAAGAAAAAATAGAATTTATAATTTTAAAACTCTGAAAATGTATAAAATCTAAGCCATAGCTATGACCTAAACTTTATAAACCTACCACAAAGTTTAAATTATTATACAGTCACTAACAAGTTTATTGGAGTCTAAAAGAGTCTTTGTAACATATTGCTAAACAAATCACTTATTTATAGAAATAAGGGAAAAAATGGAGTTATCTCAAAATTAGAGTCATTTGGAAAAGCTTAAACATTTAATAGACAGAGCTATGTTGTCACCATTTTCAGTGCTAAAATTGGTCACAAACTATAATTATGTTTTATTTCAATTACTCTCAATACAAATTAAGACTCCTTAATAAGAATGTCATTTAGATTTAGGAAGATTTAGTTTTTACATATTAAATTAAGAATTTGTGAAATGAACTGTAACAACTATCTAATAGGAAATACATCTCAGAAGTATTGACTCTGAGCTATGTTTATAATCAGCATTTGGCATTACATTTAACCAATAATTACTGCAAGCAGATATGACACATTTCATATAATAAGTTAGTTGTACGTTTTTTTCTAAACATCAGGTTTTAGTAAATACATTCAATTTTCTGCTAGCTTCAGTATACATACATTGCCAAGGCTAAGAAAATGGAGTTAATTCTGAATTTGCAGTTAATTTGGATAGAAGTAAATTTGAGATTAGAGTTTACAAATATGATTACTACCTTTGAAAAGTGACTTAATTTTAAATATCATGTTTTTTCTTAGAAAAATGCTAATGAGGTTTACTTATTTATTTATCACAACTTTATTCCACAGATGGTCTGAGATGGTGTTAATTACTGTACATATTTTAAATTCTCCATTTGTAAATTTGCATTTGCATTTTTGTAATTTTTCCAAAACTCTACTAAATTAAGATCAACCATAGAAACACCCTAAATATCTTCAGAAAAGACAGTCACTAGCTTTCATTTACCTGTTAAGGAGGTAACCACCATTGTGAAGATTTTCTTCCTAATTTTCCTCATTAATCAGTCATCTTACTATTTACAGGGTCACTAATCAACTCTTATCTCAACTCTGACTTTGAATATGGTGATGGAGATATGAACAGGTAAGGCACTCATTCTTATCTCTCAAAACAATTCTCCAAAATGCAAGGAAATATCTCCAAACGATATAGGAAATGTCCATCTTCCTGCCTCTCTCACTATTTTGTTTATTTCTTCTCTAGTCTCCAAATTTTACTCTGCAGCAGGGTTTCTTACCTTAATACTATTGACTTTTTGAATTGGGTGAAGCATTATTTGGGGGAGGGGCTATTTTGTGCATTTTAGGATATTCAGCAGCATTCCTAGCCTCTACCTTTTAGATGCCAGTAGCCCCCATATCCACCTCCCAGTCTTGACCATGAAACATGTCCAGAGACTTTGCCAAATGTCTCCTATAGGGCAAAATGAACCCTAGTTGAGAACCACTGCTCTAAACTTACATGATAACCAGAGTAATCACTATCACTGTCCAGACCTATACTATCCAATGCAGTAACCATTAGACATGTGTGCATATTAAGGACATGATATATGGTTAATCCAAATTGAGATGTGCTATAAGTGTAAAATATACACTAGATTATGAAGACTTAGAATAAAATATAAGTAAAATATCTCATTAATAATTTCTATGTGAACTACATTTTGAAATGATATTTTGGTCATATTGGGTGTGATGGTTTTATTAATGGCTCCATTTGGCTAGGCTATTATCCCAACTTATTTTATTTAACACTAACCTAGAGTTGCTTGCAGGTATATTGCAGATGCAATTAAAATCACTAATTAGTTGACTTTAAGTAAGATGATTTTGCAGATTTTGTATAATTTGGATGGGCTTCTCTGATTTCTTTGGAAAGCCTTAAAAACAGGCCTGAGACTGACCAGGGCAAAAGGAGAAATTCTGCCTCTGAATGACAACTTTGGTTGACAGCTTCTAGGCTCAACTTGCCTGTGATCCTCCCTTCCTGACTTCCTGTCATATGGGTTAAAAAATGCGTAGCCAGTTACCAACATTTGCATAAGCCAATTCCTTGTAATAATTTTTAAAAGTATAAAAGTGTCTCCAAGATATTCTATTGGTTCTACTTCTCTGTTTAATCCCTGACTGATACATTGAATTAAATAAGATATATTATTAAAGTTAATTTTATATTTTTCTTTTTACTATTTCAAATGTTACTACTAGAAAATTTTAAATTACATATGTGGCTCCTATTATATTACTACTAGACAGGTCTAATGCAGGTCTAATCCCAGGGGGAGCAAAGGACCTTTATAAATAACTTTAGGTCATCCACAGAGACAAATTGATTTCAAATGAACTGCAAAAACCAACTTGATATTCTCTCCTGTCAATACTGTTTTGCTTGCTCCCTCCTCTCCAAACCATCAGATGCTATGAAGAAGACTGGTGCTTTGTTTAATTCAGGTCCATAAAGCAAGCAAAATATCAAAGATTTATAATGATCTTTGGATATACTAAGGGAGTTTGCCTTTAAGAGATCATACCTTACTCCTAGTAGGTATTAACTGGAATATAGAGATGGCATGAAATTTTTAAAATTGAAAAAATGCATGGAATGCTACAGTCACCACGTAATGGGGAGGCCTTAAAATTGTCATTTAGAATAATATTTTTTGTAGAGGTAGGGGTGTGTGCATGTGTGTGTGTATATACGTGTGTCTTCCGTAGACATCAGTTGACCATTCAAAAGAATAAAGAAGGGATTCTGGAGCTCACATGGGAGAATAAGACGTGAGTGAGACTCTTACACAGAATCTGGTACTGAAGGCCATCTTTGAAAAATCCTGTCGAATCTCCCAGTATAACTTAGATTTTGGAGAAAACACTGGACCGGAGTGGTGGTGGTTTGGGGGACTAGAAAGCCAGTCCTTGTTGATCATAGTAGGGTTTCCTGCATGGTAGGTGTAAATTTGCACATCAGAAAACAGGTGAAAGAAGTACTAGCAGGAGCTACCTTGCTCCTCTTAGCTCTTGTGTACTCAGTCATATCCTGACAAAGGGAATGAGTGCTAGGTAGTAGCAGTAATTGAAATGAGCTAGGGACCATCCTGAACAACAACAACAAAAAAAGACAAATCTCAAAAAGACTAGGGTCAAGACCACCACTCAGGTGAAGGGAAAGGCCGGGGCAAATATATTATCTCCCTTTTCCAAATACATGAAAGGGAGGTAACGCTAAAGTGAAAAGCAAATACTTGCATGTTGGATACACTTCATTATAAGCTTTACTTAAGCAAAAATAAAAATGAATAAAGGAAAATTAGACTGAAAAAATGGTAATTTATTTCAGAACAGTTATTTTTTACTCTGTGGTAAGTACAGTAGATGCTACCTAGTTCTGCAACTTAGATCAATCTCACAGGTAAAGCCTCATTCTTTATTTTCCTTATTCTGCACTTCAGCCTTAGAACAAACTAAGACAACCTCACTGCTCTGGGCAGATGCAGGCAGTTTTCTTGTAAACAGAGGTCACCCATTCTTAAAGAGATACACACACAGTAAAGTCTCTACAGCTCACAACAAAGTATACAAACTTACATAGGCAGATTTTTGTTTTACAGGTACATTATTGACTATTTTTTAGCTGAAATATTAATATTTCTACAGAGGCAAGCATAGATAAACACAGCTGAACTAGTAAAGACATACATCCACCTACATTTCTTTGCTCAGGAAGACAAAAAATTATTTCTGATGATTCAGACTTAAGGGGAGATTAAATGTTTCTCTGCATATTTTATTGCAACTTTGCATTTTCTTTGGGGACTGGATTCCATCACTGGTGTCACTGACTACGGGTATCTGATGTCAGAAGAATCCAGTAAAGCCTCCACATGGTGTGCCAGTTCTGTCGCCTTACACTTTAGCCAGGAAATGATGACCATTCAAACTCCTGTCCAATTCAGTAACATGTTACTAACGTAGACTTTGGAAAGATATTTTTCTCATAAGGAGGCAATGCCTGATTTGTTACCTTCAATTGTTCTTTCCAGCTAAGGCTATATTTGTATAAATTGGAAAATCAAATTTAAAAGATTCAAGTCATTAAAGGTGGTAATTTATCGTCTCACAATCTTCAAATAAAATTAAGTTTTCTATATTATGTTATTACTAGCTTCTGGTTATTTAATAATTTGCAAAGATAGGTGAATGTCTCCACTTAATATAACATGAAATAATGTATAATAGCATAAAACTTTAGTTAAACATCATGACACTTTTTGAGGACCAGTTCACTTAAACCTGAACCAAACCTGGATACAAGAGACTTAGAAGAAAGGCAAGGCAGTCGTTATTCACCTCCACATATATGTCCTTTGCAATTAGGTGGATGTCCAATGTCTCTGAAAAGGTGTTAAGTCTCAGCACCAGATGCTAGTTGGAATCATAAGCCACGTTTGTAACCGGTAAATCTTGAAAAATGTTTTGTATCTTAGAAAGCACAAAGGTCAAAGTATCTTAATCCACGTGTGAGTCTGTCCATAAATTCTTAAAGATATGAGTTTCTATTTGAATTTTGAGAAGGGGAGAAGGGAAAAAGATGTGGGAAAAGAAGTTACAATTATCTTAATGTGTTAGGAGGCAACCAAGGGAAATCCCTTTGTTCTACTGAGTCACTGGCAGCTTTGCCTAATAAGAAAGAAACAGTAGTACTCCACTAAAGTTGCCGGTGTCAGTAACGGTTTCAGTGGCACTGAAGGATTTAAGAGAAGGGCAAATTAATTTCAAAGAATGCAGGAAGTGTATTTCTACTTCTTTGACTACTCCTGACTTTGCCCTAACACTTTTCCGGCAGCTGGTAGGGAGATATGAGAGAAGATAAGTGGAGGAAAAGGTAGTATCTCCTCTTAGATTCTTATCACTATTCATCTCTCACTCCAAGACTAAAAGCTTTTGAAATTCAAAGAAAACATTATCATACTAGGCTTAA